AATAATTGTCCCTGGGATGTAAGTCTACTCTCCATGACATATTACTTTTCAGTTTTAAATCATATATACTGAAAGGAGCAGGTCTGTTTAATGATTATCACCAGGATTTTATGCCCCACACCCAAAGGTCGCGTTGCCTTCTGTAAGAAGACTGATTACCACTAGTCATTTTGGAAAATGGAAAATAAGCACAAAAAATGAATAGCTAATTATGCACCAGGTTCCACATTTTTGCACCATTATTTTTGCACCCATTTACTGCAGCTTATGTGCACAAATTCAGACGTGAATTACTTATTTCCTTAAAATCTGATTTAGAGGAATTTCTCACCTAATGCATCTTTTGAAGAAATACCCAAGACTGCAACAGACAATATCTACTGACTACTGACAGACAGACGGTAGAGGTCGAACAGCACAAGCCAAATAGACACAGGAAGTGAAAGGAGCCTTACTTAGCTGGGACTAAAGGTGTGAAATGTGGGGAGAACAGCAGTGAGAAGGAGTGGGATGGAGTTGGAGGACATTGGGAGGTGGGGGTGGGGGCTCCTGACATCTACCAGTTCAGGGCTGATTTGGATGTGGACTCATGTTGGCTTGGCAGAGGCCCACTTCATTAGTGTCCTGATGCATTAGAACTGAGGGGGAGAGGGAGGCGGTGGAAAGAGAAAGTGTAGTAGAATAGAAGAAGGGAAGCAAAAAAGCAGCAGCAAAGGGAGAAAAACGTAAGGTATGAAAGAAGCACAGAAGAAATAGTATGACTACTTGAAGGATGAGAGAAACGAGGAGTCTTCGCTGGAGGAGCTAACTGTGCGTTTGGCTCTGCTCTCTAACATCATCATTAGTGCATGAGGAAGACCAGGCCCCGCCATTGGTGCATGCATGCGTGTGTGTGTGTGTGTGGCGATTGATCCAGGAGTTCTTGCTGTCAGCCCAAATAAGCATAGAAATAGTGAAGGTCTGTGAATAGTGGGGGGGTTTGGGGTGGTTAGGGTTGTTGGTGCAGGTCGGAAGCAGTAGGTTTCGCAATTCCCTCCATGATTTACCCTCAATTTAGTTATTAAGTGTCTCAGTAAACTTGTATGGGGGATGTTTGTAGCTGTGTGGTCCTCATTAAGGCAGGGGTAAATATCTTTTTCTCTGGTCTGGTCTCACTCTCTTGTTGGTTTTCCAGCATTCTTACAGTCTTTTCTTAATATCAAACACTGTCACTTTGCAGGAAAGAAAAAGGAAAAAACCTACTGAATTCCTGTAAATTGGTCACCCCACCCCCCTCCCTGAAAATAAAGCCCCTGCCAATGAAATTGGAGCAATTTCATGGTCTGGCCTGCCCTCAATATTATTTAAGTAATACCCTGTTATTATTGAAGAGAGGGAGAGAAAAGTGAATGACTATTATCTTTATGTGGGTCCTTTAATTTTAATGTGCCACAGATTTATAGCTGGGCATTCCAGTGGGGAGGCCCCTCCCTGCTCTTAAAGCAAGCGGGCGGGACACGACCGCAACGCTCTCACAACAGCCACTACCTTCTGACAAACAACCAAAGTCCTCACTTTCCCTCCCAACACTTCATTCTGCCCTCCTCACTGCTGTCAAATACCCCTCCCTCTGGTCCTGACAGCCAGAGGATCCCTCTCTGAGAGCTCCACCCATCAAATTAACAAACACATATCTACACCTTCTCTCATTGTCTCTATTATAATCCCTATTTTTTTCTTTATCACTTTCCTAGCCATTCTCATGTGTAGTTTTTAGCTGCTGAACATTGAGCTCTTTGTGCCAAACTGTCATAACCTGGATTATCGGAAAATCTGAGTTCATAACAATCAAGATACACTCATCTGAAATACATCCTGTTCCAGTGTAAATTTGTCATCTGCCTCACCAGCAGTGGTAAGACTAAACATTTTTAGCCCTGAGTTTGGTTTCTCAGGCTGTGTTTCACTCAGACTGCATACAACTCATTCCATCTTTGCTCAGAGATAAATCAAACAGATCAAATCAATAACCAGGCAGTTTGTTTCACTGGCAAGCATTTATAAGAAAGCTATAATTGTTGTTTTCCAGGTGACAGTGTATAAAATACATCTAAAAATAAAATGAGAATGAAAATCAACAATTGCTACTATAAGCTTCTAAGCTTCTAATATGAATAATTATAGCCCTATTTCTATTATCTGCACCACTGCCAAAATATTTGAGAAAATTATTTTTAATCAATTATCAAAATTCATTATTCAGAATAACATCTTATCCCCATATCAATCTGGCTTTAGACCTAATTTTTCCACCACCACAGCTTTATTGAAGTTCACCAATGACGTTTTCTCCGTCTTCCATAAGGGACAGCTAACTGGTGCTATTTTTAACGACCTTTCCAAAGCTTTTGATATGGTAGATCATTACATTCTCCTTGACAATATTTATGCAATAGGTTTCAATCAAAGTGCTATGTTATGGTTTAATTCTTATCTTCATAACAGACCGCAGTGTGTTGCTTTTCAAGGTTCACTGTCTGATTATTTATTGGTTGATAAGGGGGTTCCTCAAGGTTCTACTCTAGGACGATTTTCATTAATGATTTATCGCACATTTGCTCCATCTGTAAGGTTCATCTTTATGCTGATGATACCGTAATTTGCACTGCTGACTGATATTCACTGTATCCAGAACAGGTTACAAGCTGACTTTATTATGACTGAAAAATGGCTTCACAATAACAAATTTTTGTTGAACATGGAAAAGTCCTGTTTTATGTTGTTTAGGACGAGGCACAGACGACCTTGTACTCTTAACTTGCAACTTTATTTCGAAGATGAGTCTTCCATGGTGAAATTGGAAAAATTTAAGTACCTTGGACTGTGAATTGATTCTGAGCTTACCTTTAAACCTTAATTTCTCAGTTGATATTGCCCTTTATTGACTACGCTGAAGTCATCTACATGAACACTAGTGACTCTGTTCTTAAGCCACTTAATGTTGTCTTTAACTCTCTGTGTAGATTTGTTCTGAGGTGTTTAATACTCATCATTGTGTAATATATGCATCACCAAATTGGCTTCAGCTTAATTCAAGGAGAGACTTCCATTGGTTCCTATTTATTTTCAAATGTGCCTACTTCGATTGTCCTCCATATCTGAAAGAACTCTTTGTTCCTTGTAGTTCTATGTATCCACTTAGAGATATGCAATATCTCGTCTTTACTGTACCAGGAATCTTTTCAGCTGCTGGATGTAAAGTTTTTCATTATAAAGCTACTTGTGATTGGAACAATCTCCCTCTGTCCTTGAGATCCATCTCATCTTTTTGGAGATTTAGGTTATCTATATTTCAATATCTTAACAATGTGTGTACATGTTATTGATGCTGGGCTAAACAATATTGCTTGTAATAGTATTTTGCTTCATGTAATTGTTAAATGGATTTACCTCCTGTGGATTCAACCTCTGTTTTTCTTATGTGATACCTTTTCGCATTGAATCTCTTATGTATTATGGTTTCCAATTGTGTAATGAGGTAAATGGGATGTACTAGCTTGCTATAACATGTCTGAGCTATGATGTTTTGAGCATTTGTTTTTTTTTTTTTCTTTGTTTGTTTTTGTTTTTCCTGTTGTATTATGTATATGTGTATTTGGACCCTCTTGAAAACGAGATGCTGCATCTCAAGGGGCTATCCATCAATAAATTGAAATTGAAATTGAAGTCAGTAAAGGAAAAAGACAGTGCTCTTGATAAAACAATTCCTAGTTGGTCGATAATAGTATTTGATTTAGGTATTTTAATCATTTGTTTTTCCCACCAAATTTGCATAGAAACATTATTTCCCCAACGCTGCATCTATAGACATCTATCTAGCAGAATTAGGAACTAACAATTTAAGACCAAAATATATTGTATATATATAATACGCTGAATAACGATCAAACAAAGTAAGATAGACTAGAGTTCCTAATTGACTCAAATCCAGTTTCTGTTGTTACAAGAAAGAGAATAATTGATCAGACATGTAATGACAGCAACAATAAACAAAAATAATTAGTGAAGATCCCTAATTATTGATTCTTGAGCATTTTCTATTCAAACTCTACATGTTCCCATTAGCACAAATTTGTAATATGCAGAAGATATTCAAATTTATATTTAGAAATTTTTTTCCCGCAGCTTTCTATTAAATTTGGTGTTATTGTTTAATTATTTTGATTAACTCTATTTTATTATATTTCTAATTTCCATTGCCTTATAGAGGTTTTACACACACTCTAGCAACAGTGTTGATTTTATAGATTCACAGAAACAGTTTCATTCACTCAACTTTTTCTCCATAGTTTGCATTTTCTTCTATCAAAGCTAGAACCACAGCAGTTGTTACTGATCGAATCCAAGTACTAATCCAAAATGATAATTACTTTGTCCTCTCTCACAGTGTAGAGGGAGCCTCTACACTCTGACCCTCTGAGGTTTTGAATGGGCTAGTTAAATAGTGATGGGGTGTAATAACTTTGTCAATAAGAGACTTCTGGCAGACAGGTGGTTGGCGTTTTACTAGAGCTAATCTTACACACATTAGGTCAAAGGTATACTGGACACAAACCAGTTTAAAAGCCCGCCTTCGAGCTGGTTAATAGACCGTGACACCCTGTGAGCTGTGAAACACTTGTTCTCACCCTCTGTTCACCCTGCAGCCCTGGCTACTGTGAGCTGGAGGGGGGGACAGGTTACTGGTTGTTTTATAAGATGTGTTGCGTCATACATGGTTACTGTTGGTTTTAATATTTAGAACATAATATTTAATTTCTGATTAATTTAAAGAAGTACACAAATGCATGGTGAAATTATACAGGATTCAGATCAAATAGAATACATAAATGCTGACGTACTTGTTGGGAAATAAATTAGGTAATATGGTTGTAATTTCAGTATGTTGCTTTAAATGTAGCAGCAGTCTAGATCAGGGGTCACTGTGCCCCATTAATCAGCTCTTTTGTCTTTCTCGCCAGGCACTCCACAGGCCACCTCCACCGCCAATGAAGGAGCACCGCCTGTCTCCAATGCGCGAGGAGCAGTCATCTGCCCCGGTGAACGAGGAGGGGTCACAGAATGTGGGAGCAGGAGCTGCAGGCGGATGTCCACCTGGCACTGTTGGCAATACTGGGAGCAACAAGAAGCCACGATCACGCACTAAGGTACAGTATTTTATTATACTTTCTCCTTTAGGACCATCATTTTGGCATATGGGTCAGCTGCTTTTAATTCATTTTCTCTATGTATCCTCCCTGTGCATTCTAGATTTCCCTGGAGGCCTTGGGTATCCTGCAAAGCTTCATCCAGGATGTTGGCCTGTACCCAGACCAGGAGGCCATCCACACCTTGTCAGCACAACTTGACTTGCCCAAACACACCATCATCAAGTTCTTCCAGAACCAGCGCTACCACGTAAAACATCACGGCCGCCTCAAAGAGCTGGGTGAGGGGGCCGCTGCCAGCGGAGGTGTGGATGTCAGCGAATACAGAGAAGAGGAGCTGCTTTCGGGGTCAGAGGACCCAGAGTCTAGTGAGGACGGAGCTGAGGACATCTACCAGTCTACAGAGGGGAATGGAGGGAGTACAGGGGGGCTGAACCAGCTTCCAGCCTCCTCCAGCTCCAACTCCAGCCAGTCAGGGACCAACGCTGCTCAGGAGGAAGGCAAGGACAAGGGGCATGGCCGGCCTGGTGGCTCTTTGGCCCCCGGGAGCTCCTCATCCAGTCCTAGAGAGCAGGCTGACTACCAGAGGTAGAGACTCACAAACAGAGACGAGGAGGAGGACCGAGAAAATGAGAGAGGGAGAGAAAACAAGATAAAGAAATGGTCTATGATAATGAAGCGAGGAACTGTTCATGAATTGATGGAGGGCGGCTGCAAAGAAACTGGGATGAAATACTGTACATCACTGAAACGACCAGACAGATTCTTTATAGTGACAGTCTAAGACAGACATCGAGTTGTGGAGTGATATTACCTCAGCAAAAGAGAGCAGGTTCACAGAGTGCTGTGACACAGCAGTGGTTGTGTAACTGTGAAAGAAAGTTTTTTTTTCCCAAAAACATTTAAATAATTCACTCGCTATCTTTCATTAACTGGTAAAGCTATTGCTGCTCATGCCTCCAACCGACAGACAGACACAAACACAAAACTAAATCTCCACTTGTCAACAGCCGAAATCATCACAGAACTTTCTCCTAATCAAGACACTCGGCAGAAAAGACACGCGGATTGGGCCAGACATTTCTCTCATTCTTTATCTCTACATGCTGGGCTGAATTTGCCCCGCTGAGTGACGTTTATAGACTGGATCCCGGGGCCTTCCGAGACCTCTACAATCCTATATATCCTCAGGACACACATTGATGTTGCTAATGCTGTTGCCTGCCCGAGAGCGTGGATAGTTGGCATTCGCTCTTCTTCTACTCTGCTTCAATTCACTGTGGAAAAAGGAAATTACCACCCCGCATCCTGCCCTCGCCTCACCATCACACTCCACAATCACTACCAGTCCTATCGAGCACTTAACTGTTCACAAAGACACTGACATTTTGTGGATGTGATGTACTCTTGCCACCCTCCCTCCGTCCCTCCCTCCTCCGTCTCTCCTTCCAAGGCTCACAAACACTGTGAGGTTTAAAAATGACAGTGGACAGTTTGGCAGGAGGACAGTAGACAACATCAAGAGGATGTGGCGTGGAGGGACACTCTGTACCCACGACTCTGAACCCTTCCTGGCACCACCCATGTATGTGTGGCGAGAAAAATGTCAAAAAAGGAAGGACAGAGCGGAGATTCAGCAACCAAACAATCAGTCACTTTATGTGCGGTAGTCCACCCCTTCCACTCTTCCTCTCCTCTCTCCATCTCACTCTCTCCCCCTTTAAATCTCTCTAATTGGTGCCCACAGTCTTGTGTTTCACCACACCTACCCGCACTTAAACTTCACCGACCCTATTTATTGCTATCTTTATCCATGATTATTATTATTATCATTATTGTTATTATTGTTGTTATTATGGTTAGAATTGCTGTCATTGCGTGTTATTTTTAGTTTTTATTTCCATGGTTTTAAATATTGGTTTGTCAGAACTGGGCGGTTGTTTGGGTAACAAGAGACATTAAGAGTGCTCTGCCCTAAAATAAGAGGAAGAAAAGGAGTAGAGAGTGAAAGAAAATAAAAAGAAGCAGTTACTGAGTGTTGTTGGGTTAAAAAAAAAGAAAGTCCTGTCCTGAAAGTCATATTTTTTATTGTCATGTTTCTCAAAAATAGTAGATGAGACTTGTTGAAAATTAGCGAAACTGTGCTATTTTGCTGCAGTTGATGACAATCTACTTTTTTGAGCCATTAAATAAAGGTGGCAGGTTTGACTCAGTTCTTCACTTTTGATGCCTGTAAATACCAAACATTGGATAATTTGTTATTGATATGCTTTTATTTTTTATTTTGATGAGTGACTTTATTGTGTTTGAGCCAGTTTGGAGTACCAGTTTGTTTTTTTTTCTCCTTTGGACAGCTCAGTGAAATCAATTAATTTCAGTGTGTGCCAGGCAAATTTCCATTACAAGAGTATTTAAAAATAATTCTGACTGTTTTGTTTGATGTCTGGTGCAGTTGTGTATACGGTATGTTTCAAAACAATATCTGAGAATGGATAGCGTCTTGTTTGACTATCCTGATCGGCTGCTACACCCAAACAGATGACCTGCCTTTTAGTTTTTACGTCGACTCCGATCACTCCATATGTTAATATTGTGCTTTCCTGTATGACAGGAATCAGGGTAAGATTTAAATGGCCGTTCCATTGAAATCATCCAGTGAATAAAAATTTGTGAATTCAAAAATTGTCTGTTTTTATTTCAATAGCATACACTTTTTATGGCTCATACAGAAAGACATATATTGTGCCCTATCAGTTAAAAGTCAATGGAAAGTCACAGGTGCTGGGGTTTCTAATAAGAGTGCAGGGAGTGATAGCAATTCACACAGGAATTCAGCCAGTGCTCTCAGAGTGTCCCTCTCTCTGTCGCTCTCTCGTGTCCCACAAGATTAGACCAACTAGAAGTTGCAAAGTCCCACTTCACCCAGCCGACATCAAAAACAATGAGCCCGTCCCGAGAATAAATCCCACTGTTGTTAAAATTTCTTCAACAGTAATATATAAAAGTAGAAAATTGCCTTAATGAGCAGTGGAATTATACAGACTTCAGATAGATGTCATTGGTTGCACATAGCTGGTGTATTTTGAGCAAAGACTTTTTGAGGCTGGTGAAATTCTATATTTTTGTTATTGTCAACAAATCCCATGAAAAGGCCAAAATCAACAATGCCTTAGTGCGTCTCTCTACTTTCCGACTTCTGCCACCCTGTCTGTGGCTCTCAGCCCAATTTTTAACAATGGGTCACAGATATGTGGTTTGGTTTTAATAAAAGGCAGAATAATTTCCTAAAACAACTGGAGACTGTAGTATTTGGCAAATGTTTCCCAAAGAAGAATAAACTGTGGGGGACTTCTTTCAGCCACAGATTTGGTGCAGTGGTGAGCAGGACCGTGTGAGTGGAATCAACTCATTTGACTTACAGTGTCGATGTTCATGGTAATAAAGTGCGGCTTTTTTAAGTCTAAATAATAATAAAATAGCTGGGCACTGTAGTTTTTAGAAAAGTTTACTCAAACTGGAGGAAATACTGCATTTTCTGGGGACTATTTTTCAGCCGCAGATTTGGTGGTCAGTGAGTGTTTACAGCCGCAGCACAGTGCGGAATCGATTTAAAATAGACAACACTGTCCACGTTCATCATAGTGAAGGAACATGTCACCCAGTGAAAAGGTGTGACTCATTTATGTGATTTAAATAGCTTCTGGACAACAATGGAGGTGTGTGGCACAGAGGAATAAAATATATCAGGCTTTGGCTTCACAGACAACTAACACTTGTTAGTAGGATCATTACATTGTTAAGTTAAAAAACATGGCCAATGGAGATACGGTATTAACGAGCTAAGCTAAAAAAAAAAAAGCTAAACAGTTTAAACAAACAGTTTCATGGTATTCAAGGCAAATTCCGTGAGTGAGTGAAGTTTTAGAAGACAAGAAAATTCAAATGGTTCTTCAAATCCAGTAGCAACTCTGTCTTCTCATTGCTATTTAGTCACTGATTAATGACACACAGTTCAGAGATGGCCTGGGGAACATGGTGTCTAGTCTAACAACAGTCTCATGTAGTGTATTTTGTCATCATTAATTTAATTACATGAATTCTTAGTTTAGAGAAACTCTAGGATTACAGTCATTTCAGGAATCCAATCCAAAGCCAGTATATTGTTATGACCCTGTCTAGCTCATATTAAGGAGCAAACCTGTGACTGTGTGTTCAGACAGTCCTGCATGAAAAATAAATGCAGCCCTCAATATTCATTTTAATGGGGCCAGTCTGTTGACGCAGTGGGGGGGGACAGACAGAGGGGGCTCTGGCAAAACACAGGATCATCCAGCAAAAAAGTTGAGCCTGGCTGCAGCTGGCCTATCAAATACATGCAAGCACACATGGTTCTCATGGTAACTTTACCTCCTTTATAACAAGAACACTGTTAGTCTACTGTTTACCTCACTATGTTCACAACAAAAGATAAAATAGTGCCCGCTGTGATAACTTTCCAGTGTTCTAAAATCCTGTCTGAGGATTATAAAACATTGTGCATTGTTTTGGCATCAGATAACCACATTTAACCACATTAATCTGTTGCTCAAATCTGGACTTCCTGGATTTACTTCATGTATCACCAGTGCCTTAAACTTAACAGACCCCCACTATTGCAGCTCCCTCCGGCCTGAATCCCCTCTTACTCATCAGACCACTTTACATCTTTGGCTCCAGAGGTGTCTGTGTCTTATCGGTTCTAACTGTCCAGTGAAAAAGTTTTTTCTTTTAATTGGTGACTTTAAGAAACTACCAAGACACAACTGCATCAAGATGGGATGTGTCTTAAATTTTAAACAAGACAGACTCATCAATCAGGAACCATGTGGCATCCCTAAAATCAACTTAAGTAAACAAGTAAAATAAAATAGCTCATCTGACAGGCCACCTCAGAACAATCAGCTACTCAAGCAGCAAACACACACACACACACCGACTTCAATTACCTCTCTAAATAGTTTCAACTCTGATGAGGTGTAGCAGGGCAGAACAATCTTGGTGTTTAACCTGCCACTAGGGGCTGGGTCAACCATTTGAGTGTGTGTGTGTGTGTGTGTGTGTGTGTGTGTGTGTGTGTGTGTGTGTGTGTGTGTGTGTGTGTGTGAGCCTGCTGGACTCATTCAGTAAACAATAGAGCCTAAGTGTTGGTGATGAGCTGGAGGGTCATGGTCTACCTGCAGAAGCGTTTTCCACTCAGCTTGTCTTCTCTGACTGAAGACAATCAGCTCACGCTGTGACTCAGCCACGGTGGGATAATTATACCTGATGTCTCTTCATGCCTTCCCCCAAAATAACTGTCTGCCCGTCTCCCTGCTGGAGGCTAATGAGGCTAGAACTGAGATGACCAAGCTACAAAAAGAAAGAAGAAGATAGGAAAAATGAATTTTTTTTTACTGGAGCTTCTTCAGATGATGCAGCTATTCTCTTCGCCACTAATTTCATTGGTACAGCTGATATTTCCATTATCCAGCAAATAGAAACCTCCATCATCTACTTCTTCCTGTCAGCATGAATCACTCTTCTCTGAGAGTTTATGTTTAGCTGTCCAAGTCAACGTTGGAATGACTTGTTTCATGATGTTCAAAGGCTTGCAGACTATTTCAGAATGCCTTGTCTTTTGAACAATGTTGTGCATTGTGTATAAACTTAAATAGGGCTTAGCTTGAGGGAAGGGGGGCGGGGGGATACAGACTGGGCCGAGTCAACTACGTGGCCACAGGAACCAAATATTGCTTCATTTGTACATGTATGCAATCAAAGAAAACCAGGAATGGAAAAAAATACGACCCAAGAGGCAGTTTTGGGTGGAATTTACTGGAAATTATGGATGACAATGCAGCTTCCTGTGTTTATACAGTAAAGGAACACTTTTTAATGCGCTATTAAGACTGGTGCTTCCAGGAAATAAAAAAAAAATTGACAAGGCATTGCCTGGCCAACTCACAACAGTCAATCTGCTGGGATTTCAGTTAAACAGCCCTAAACTAATCAGCCTCAAACTAAGTAAAGGAGAATATTATGCAAGATAAAGCTAATAAGTGGCCAACAACTCACTCTGAATGGAAATGTTATTCAAATCTGCCAATCCTTCTGCAAGCAAACTGTACTGAAAATTGCGTTACTAAAGGAGGCCTCTGCAGATGTTCAGGGAAATTCAAAAAATAAACCTCATCAAACTGTCGCCTGGCCTCCACAAAACTGATAAACACTGAGACGCACATTTTCCTTTTAATGGTCCAAACTCATCAGTCTAAAACCCACCAACAAATATTATGTAAAATAAGACTTTTAAAGGGGCAACAACTTAATCTAAATGGAAATACTATTCTCACCCAAGTAATCTTTTGCCAGCAAACAGAACTCAATGTTCTGATTAAGAAGTTATTTCCTCACAGTGACGAAATTTGTTCCTGTAATAATATTTGCGGGCTTGTCGCTGCTTCTTTTTCTTTGGACTTCTTCTTCTCACCCAGTTATATCTGGGTTTTGCCTTCAGTGTGAAAGGGTATAATCGGCATTCACTCCCAGCCCCTGGGTCAAACGCTGCAGCAGTAGCGGGTATTAATTGGCTTCAGCTCTGATTTGCAATGATATAAACGTAACACACAAATTTTCGCCCCTTTTTCAGCGCAACTTTTTCATCTGTTTCTACCTATGAATATCTATAAACGATTCATCCATATGTTTATGTTGTATTAGCATGCTAGGCTAACAGTAAATGAGTTGTGACTTTATGGTGCATTCCATTCAACATGGGAAGTCGGAATTTCCGAGTTCTAAGTCAGAAATTTCAACCTTAAGTCAGATTTCTGACTTCTGGGAGAACCGCACTACCCCGACTTTGTGTGTCCAAGATGGCTGCTCTGAGTATCAACAGATCTGTAGAGCTGTAGTTTATACTGTTTATTAGCACTTCTGTGTGAAATTTTTGTACATAAAGTGCTGTCCAACTGCTGTCTGTGGACATGTTGCCACAGTGTTTAGCATGCGTAAATACTGCACAGTGCGTTTTTTTTATTAACCGCTAGTTGTAAACAACAGCTGGCCATTGTAGCTGGAACGTCGTCAACTCGGGTGTGATGTCATTCCCAGCTCTGACTTCCGAGGTAAATGGAATGCACCATTATATCCATGCTGTGACGACTTTGCTGTTAACCAGAAACACTGTGGCGAAACCTTATTTTTACACAGTTCATAGGCTACACACAGCCATCACTGTACCATTGTCACTAACCCACATGCTGCTTTCTGCTGTTTTCCAGCACAGTCGTGATGTTGAACGCAACACAGAAAAGGCAAACCTGTCTACTGGCAATGTGGGTCTATTGCTTATTTTTAGCTGCTTACTGTTGTCATGGATGTTTTACTGCAACCGCTTAGCTTAGTGGTAAAAAAGCGAACTACAAAGTCAGTGACTATGAATCTTTTAAACTGAACTGAACGAAGTGATTTGAATCAGCAAGGTTTTCACCCCCTCCCCCACCCCCATTGCATTATACCACACAGCCTCTCTGCTCTGCAGCCTTGCGGTAAGCACCTCTGGTTTTCATTCAGTACCACCCGTCCCCTTCTCCTTCCACCTCATCCCTAAATCTCCTAATTCAACTCATTATTCGCTCAATTGGTGGGCTTTAACCCCTCCT